TGTAAAATAGGTGATTTTTGACAAACTTTATAATGTCGAATTTATTTTACTTTTGTAGCAAACTAATGTGTCAATAGCGTTGTTGACGTGTATACAAAATTCGAACTTATTTAGTGCAACATGACTAATTTTGCCAGAATAGTTTTACTAGTGTTTGCGAAGAGGTGAATGTACTGCCAAAAAAAAAAGACACGAAAAGAAACATGCTGTTTGTAAATAGCTTCCAATTCAACCTATCTCTAGCCATTGTGTGTTAAAACAACGTAAATCTGGCAAGCGTCAAAGCCGAAACTACGGGTCTAAAATGAAGATTTTTTTGCAGAGCCGGGAGATATTCGGTATTGGCAGACTCCGAGCATTATTACGCACAGACTGTCGTCATGCCGTACATATCGGAGGACATTATGAAAAATGTATTTTCTTTCAAAGTCGAATCGTTCAAGCGCCGTTGACGTCAGACGTTCTCGCTGAAAACATCGGCGTTCAAATATTCAGCTCTCTGTGGAGGAAAATAAGCGTGTTGTCGAATGCTCCTGATCAATTTTGGTAATTCGTTTTTGCAAAATAATAAGGCCGAAACATGTTTTCTTATTGAATATTATGTTGGAGAAGTTGATTACTAAAGCGAAATAGACCGTGGAGTTAGGGAAAAGAGTTTTGACTTGTTACACAAATAATCGTCGTATTTGTGTATTAAGGCATATACCGTCGGTGTGCGACTACATTAAAGTTAATGTATCCAATTTGTTACTCATGCACATGGACGTTTTTAAACTTGCATAATTAAAAGTTAGATAAGGGCCGGAAATTAATTAATTTAGTGCGTGCCGCGGCTCGCACGTACCTGCAGTGTTAAGCTTTTAATTATAACGACAGGTGAAAGTGTAAAACTGGAATGAGATAACTAAATACTTTGTATAAAACGTCCGTTATAAAAGCAAAACATTGAAGTTTTCCATAAATCGAAATATTACTTTAAATCAAGCGATGGTGAGATAAAACATTGATTGCCTATGCCCTCGTAAATATTTTCCTGTCTGCTGCACAATTCTTCGGCATCAGCGCTTTCTATTGTGCGAATCATTAGTGTTGCTATAAAATTATTTCGACAATAAGTACAGATATGCGTCAACATATAAAACGGAGTGTTTACATCGATTTTATGGGCGATCGTTAGTGGCCAGCGGCCAACGGCTATGACGGCCGCGTCGACTCTATCTCGTATAATCGCTCCAAGTTCATGGATCCAACATGGCCGCCCGTGCGCCCGCTGACTCTCCACCGCTTTATTGAATAACAGCACATTTTTCACTCTATTGCGTCAATGCTCGATACGAGCACGCGATATTTGCGTTCGAAACCTATTAATAGTTTCGCCCGGCGAAAACTTCGCCACTCGCCGGGTTTTATTTTAGATAAGATGTGAGGGAAGGTAAATAAAATAGTACGAAATTACACTGGACCCGGTGCGCGCTGTTTTGTTTGCGCGGCAAAGTGCAGGTTTTGGACGTTGCGCGTTCTATTTCCGAACGCGGTGGAACGGTTAAGCGAATATTTATATACGAATTCGTCACTGAGATCGAAACTATGTTTTGTTAGGGCCGGGTAAAGAGCGGGTGTTGCGAATGAGATATTTACATTAGATTATTTTCGGTGTGCACGTTGGATTTATTTATTTCCCGACGGGCGTCATTCAGTTTCGGGCGCGCGAAAGCAATTATTTTCGTTTTACTTAGAATGACGCATGATGCGTTTGTATTTTTAAACATTTTCGTAATTTTAGCAAAAAAATTCCCACGTCTGCAGATTACTGCTCCGGATTAGCAACGCAGTGGTCTGCCGCGGATTACGCCTCAAGCCGGATAAATGAAATAACGTCATACTGGGTTAAAAACATTTACCTCTAATAAACCATCCTGATTAAGGTTGTAGGTACTTTTCTACGTCATCATACGTTTAACTCGGAAAAATTGATTTTTCGTATTACAAAGTGTATATTATATGTGTAAATATTTTTTTAATAATTAAACTAACAAGTCAATACGAAAGAAAATAAGCGTTTCCGGATCAGCAGTCACATTGCATAATCTATAAGAATCTAACACTAACAGTTAATCAAAATACGATCTCTTCCCTTTTTCGTTATGGAGATAAAAATTCGAATCTTATATCGAAATGAAATTATAATTTACGGGCCCAATTATTCGGATGCCTTTAAAACGTGGCAATATTGGGACAGTTGTGGATTCCTACTTATTAATTTATTTATTTTATAATTTATGTACACAGAGTATATGAAAAAAATCTAATTACATTTACTTTTGTACAAATCCCTTAGATTTGTACAAAGGCCCTTCTTCTTTCTTAAGCAATTTCTTGCACCAGATCTGTGACTGGAAATTGATCACAAATGGTAGGTAAGGTAATGGTATACGTAAATATTAATTATAATACACGTATATGTATAATAATTATAAATATAAGATCAGTACATTAATAAAAACGTATATAGTAAATGTAATAATTTTTTTAAATTAAATATATATTTCCTAAATAAATACATGTGATATACTATTCACAATGCTCCTTATCTATTTTTTTATATTAACTCGCTGCCTGCGTTATAATGCCTAGACGTCACTTGCAGAAGGCTCTACTCCCCTGACCTTTTGACGAGGTTGAACTTTGCGCGGCTAGCACCCTGACATATGACGTCAAATAGAAGTTTACTTACATCAAACGGCGTTTATATAACCAATCTAACCCCTTTTAGGCTATAAATATAAAAAAGCGGCTTAACCTTTCATGTTGAGATAAAATACCGTCAGAATACGCAGAGATGTTCATAGAATGGCATTTTAGAGATCTGTTTTTTTTAATACATTTTCCGATTAATTTAAAGGGTTTTTTTATTTATATCTATACTTTAATCATTTTTTTATTCATAATGTTATTTATTATGGAAGCCTTTTAATGTAGCTCTCGGTATTAGTATCAATATAATATCGTCTGTATCCTAAACCTCTCTAGTAATATGTATTCACGTAGATGTATGTATTCGTCGTAGAGAATGTACGAAAGATACGATTCCAATGTTAAATGAAAATCGGATAGCGGTAGTTGACTTTGACTTTCATTATTTTCCAAGGAAGCGAAGCTGAAGAGGTTCTTGCCTGTCTTCTATCAATGGCGTATATCGTGATGAAACTATCGCGTTCTAGATATTCTTATGTTTAGAGCTGTAGAGCTTTGAACGTCACACGCGCTATATTCACATAATCCATTCGCTATCAACTTTGCTGCCAGTCTCATCGATGTAGGCAAGATATACCTAACTTTTATGACGTGTTTCATAAGCGTAAAAGTTTCATACTCGCGATTTCTACAATATTCAAGCCTGGCCTTGTTTAAAAAGTCTTTAATTTATTTTATATTTTTTAACATATAATATAAATTAAATAATTAAAAATAATACATAATTTAAATTGGATAAAGCCCGGTCCTTTGCCGGTCTTTATCTGTTATCGTTTATTTTGATTATTTACAATACTAAGCACCATTTTTTGATCAGATCAACAAACCGTTACAGTTCTTTACCTTTTTACCAAACATAACCCATTAAACCCTGAAAAGTGTCGTCATATAAAATTTTCTCGAAAACGCAAAATAATAAACTTCGATTATCATATTAATAATAAACTATAAAAGAAGTCGACACGGTACGGGATCTTGGAGTGATCTTCGATCAAAAATTAACATTTGGCCCCTGGTGCGGAATTAGGTTTATTTCGATAAAAGTGGACTGTATATGCGGGATTAGTTAGGATTTAATTTGCAACCGGCAGACGAATCATGGAGCACGCACTGACCTGGAGGCTTCCAGCGACGAATCTTCTATCGGCTTCAGTCAGCGAGGCACTCGGATTATAAGTCATGTACAGTTACACAGATTTACACATTCACAGTGTTAAAGGCGAGCGGTTACACTATATAATTGTCCATCGTGCGTGCGGTTTGAACGGACAGTGCCGGTTGCGAACGAATGAAATGAAGGATTTAAAGGAAGTATGATTTGTCAATGTAATTGACATCTTAATGCGGGAATATTCAAATTAGTATGATATGGCGGCAACAGCCCCCATTTAGACAACATCATCAAAAAATCATCAAAGGTATTAGGATTTATTATAAGAAACTGTCAATATTTTAAGGATTACAAAACAAAAGTTTTATTATATAACAATCTAGTCCGAAGTATATTAGAATACTGCAGTATTGTCTGGCGACCTCACTACGCTACACATTCACTGCCCATAGAGAGAGTACAAAAGCGATTTATGTGGCACCTGTCTTTCTCTGCAGGAAAATCTAAAACTTTACGGTCATATAAAAACAGACTTCAATATTTCAAAATGACTGTTAAGACTCACTGTTAAGAAGAAGAATAGTTAATGATGCGAAGTTTATAAGCAAAATCTTAAAAAACAAAATCGATAGTCCTCAACTGCTAAAATTTCTTAATTTCCGTGTTCCTTCACGAATTCCTCGCAAAGCCATCACACCGCTTTGTCCTCCATTACGAAGAACAGTTTTAGGTCGTAACTCTCCTTTTGCAAATTTTTGTAAAATTATCAACGACTACAGTGATCGCATTGACTTTCAATATGACTCTTTAGAAAAAATAAAAAAAAATTATGTATAGCTCTTTGTCTAGTTAGCCAATAACAATATTAATCAGTAATCGTAAAAAAAGTTGTTTTGTTGATTACCCGTGCACAGTCTACTATTAAATTTAGTTTAGTTGTTTAGTTTATTTTTGATTTAATTTTATAGTTTTATTTGTACATGTGGTGTTTATATTTAAGTAATTGTTACACTAACATATATTTAATCTTAAGTTATTTATTGTAAGCTTTAAGATGTATCCAGTGTAAACAATTGTTGATAAACCTCTTTAAATAAATAAAAAATAAAAAAACATTGTGTAATATTCCTTTCAGACTGCGAATCCTTAATACGTAAGATGCTAGTCCTCGAGCCAATGAAGCGGTATACGATCGAGCAGATAAAGAAACACCGGTGGATGTCGACGGAGCCCTACACGGCCCCTACCATTGTCTCGGATCCAGTTCGGAGCCCCGCGCACACGTCGACCCACAACGAGCCAAACGAACAAGTTCTGAGGCTGATGCAGAGCTTGGGCATCGATCCTGTCAAAACGAAGGAGGTAATTATCAAGCGCATACTATGAGAGGTGTCCTGCACGGGGGTAAAGAAAGTGCACGCAACATACCAAAATTCGCTTGTGCAATAAATAACAATTCTCACACACATACAGCTTCAAGCGACACAAGACTGTTGGCTTACTTATTGATAAGTGAATTTGTATAGTATAATATTATCAAAACGCTATTTTATACCTACTGTCTATTTTGTTCAAACATTAGTTAATAATTGTTATTAACGCGGTTATTTATTGCTTTGTTAGGTTCGTGTGATCTAAAATAAGATAACTAACTGCAGAAAACATTGGGAAAGTAGTGAAATTAAATTAACGCCAAAAATAATACTCGTAGTTTCGCCTAGCAGGAAATAGCGTTGTCAAACTCACTCAATAAGATTTCTCACTATTATAATCAAAAATAGAATGTTGCTAGTTGTACGTAATTTTGCCAATAGATAAATGTGGAATTTTGTAATATCTTGCACCAATTGCAATTTATTGCTTTCTAAACTAAAGACTGCTTATTGGACCGCTCCATGATTTTACTTGCACTTACTTTATACCGCTTGCTTGATTAGGATTATTTCCTAGCAAACATCCAGTGTGAAATATAGCCGAAACAGCAAAATTACTTATTGCTTTCTTGATTTTACGCGAATATTAAACATTTCAAATAATTTAATAGCAAAATTATTTGGTTAATAAAAAATAGTTTAAGGAAATTGATCCAACTTGTTCTGCTTAATGTTTAAGACTTTTATTCTCTATTACTCTACATACTTTTATTTGCGTTTTTCTTTTTAAGTTAAAATTATTGATTGTGAAGTGATAAAACAGCAATACACGCACACAACCTCTTGTATTTATAATATCAGTTCCCAGATTGTACCCTAGAAATGAAAAAAAAAATAGAATATTTATTTGATTGAAAAGTCTTTATATTTTTACCATTATATAAATATTTATATATTTGATTCATTTGACATTTGAATAACAGAATTGTATGAATATCTACATCACTTCTTGCATATGTTTTAATTAGCTTCTCGCAGGTTTCGCACACCTGCTGCCATTTGCGTCAATCAATACGAAAGTGACTCTTGTCTCAACTTTGCGCTATAAGCGGACTATAAATATTTTCGTCATTTCATTTTGTATCTGTATTCACTTTAAAGTATTTTTTACGTTATGCATATGCCCAAAATATTATATGACATCCTACTACAAAAATATGGGTAGTTAAATTTTTGGTTATAATTTTTTTTCGTCTTAAGTATTTCTTCCTCTAGGCAACTTACCTACTTAAAAAAGATTCGTAATAGACTTAACGTGGTATGCCATAATACAACATGGCCGAGTGAATACTACAACATCGTTAACTATACTATAACGCTGTGTATATGCAGACGCTATTCACAATACGCACGCTAGATTAACGCTAACCAGACGTCGGGATGCGACTATAAATAGTGTGCTTCTTGGGCTTATCTATACGCGGGCTGGCGGTTCAGTTGGGGATTTTTTATCGCAGAGTCTTCGCTCAAACAGTTACGACCATCACGCCGCGATATACCTGCTGCTTTTGGAGAGGTTGCGGGCAAGGGTGGCGGGGGGTCATAGTGCGGTTGCGGGCGCGGCCGCTGCCTCGGAGGCGCGTCGGCCCACACGCCGCCCCTCCTCAGACCAGGCCCTAGCGCGCGAAATGCATGACGCCAGGCGAGAACACCACAATAGGTACCCATTGCAATACAATAGGCGCAGCTTTATCTCTCTCTTTGATTCTGGTCGTGCTGTTTCATTCATGCTCTGTTCGATAAAGATGCCAAACGAGCACGAATTATTTTTTTTTGTATTATATTTGTAGGGCCACGCAACTGTCTACGCTGTTGCACGAATGCACAGGTCCGTTCGGGTAAGTACCACGACTTTACTAAAGACGGCGTGAAGTGGAAATGTTTATATTTCTGTGTTTCATCTGGTGAGTGAGGTAGCCGGGGCCAATTTTGTTAAAAGGTGGCAACGTAGGTACCTACAACTTTACGGGTGTTACAGTTAAATGTCAACGGGCGGCGGTTATCACTCAATAGTTCAGCTCGTTTTTCACTTCCAGCCTTCCGCTAGCTTCTCACATAAAAAAAATGTAGGGGGTAAACGCTACTTCTCGCCAATCGTAATTCTAGAGGTGTACCCAACCGGGGAAAAGCATGGGATAACTTATATCTATCTACTGTTTCAAGGCAAAAGTTTAAACACTGCCACATCTTTCCGCCGGTACGTTGTATCGGCTTGTTGTATCATGGCCGTTCGTGAAGCAGCAAAACTTGGTTTTACCAGTAAAACAATGATGTTCAGAGGTGGTTTAGGATCGCATTTGCAACTCTGCGCATCTTGAAATGAGCAAATATCGTCTGTGGAGCACCTTCAGCACTCTAGTGCTTGCTCATTTCACAGATCGTTGGTTATTTATAAATTTTCTGTTGTCGGTATCAATTTTAAATAGAACCCCAATATACACTAAGTAATTGCCCCAGAATAGTTTCAATAGAAAGTTTAGTTCCAATGTACTCACGACTTTACTTTCTTCCTTCCAGATTATTACACGCTGGGGAGGCTCAAACTAGGGAGTATACTAGAGCGACCCCCAGCGCATCGTCTGTGCCGGGGGACGCATCATCTTCCGAAACACAGCGGCTACTTTCCCTCGCCGGAGTAAACATGACTGAGCAACGGTTGCTCCAGCGGAACGACCCGTCGGAGACCCATCGCAGCTTCCTTGTCGGGAATCTCGACGTGACGTCCCACAGAGCGCACGAGACAGAGTCCGCGCGGCTACTGTCCACGCGGAACATAGACGTGTCCCAATCGAGTCAGAGGCTGGGCGCGAAACTCAACGACAGCGTCCCCGCACACAGGCTGCTAAGCGCCACTTACGAACAGCAGCAGAACATACTAAAGCAGTCGTCCGAGGACTGTAGACGGCTTCTGCAGCAATCGACCACGGTCGGCCCCGAGGCCAACAAAAACGACGGCACCAGACTGTTGACCTCCTCGAGCTTCGACTCGAAATGCGCCATCGACGGCGGGCGCGCCTCGGCGGCCGACCACAGCGTCATAGCAAACTTCCTCCAGAACTCCGCGTCCGCCACCAACTTCAATTCGGACACTGTGAAGCTACCCAATTCCACAACGTTCACAATGTGCTCTGAAGCGGCGAAGCTTATGAACACGCTGCAGCAATCGCCGTTGCCGTTGAAGGGCACCGTCAACCTCAGCACAAGCCCAATACCGACACAGTTCACAGACACGAAACTAACCAGCGTTCTGGAGCAACCGAAGCCTCTGGAATCGACGAGACTAGTGTCCCAAGCTCAACAGCAGGACCTGAATCGCTTGCAAACTTGCACCCCGCCGTTTAAGGATTACTCGAATCATCATTTGCCGTCCTACTCCTATCTTCAAGGGGGCGGTATGCCGTCGATGTCTAACGCAGGTGACGGAAGTTTTTCAACCACGTCCACCGCCGGTGACTTACTGCAGAACACTTTGTATAGGCCCGATAGCAAATTTTCCCTCAATAGATACACCACGAGTCAGACCTATACCCAGATGCATCCCAGCACAGGTGCTGAGCCAACGAAGTTTCAACAGCAGTACTCGTCGTCGACAGACGAGGGCTGCGAGACTGACATGGAGGACGTTCCGACCATTCCAAGTGGAATACAGAACAGGCTAAGCTCGTACGCCAGTTCCAGCTCGAGCAGTGGCGTCGTAACCTTCTTCAATAACAAAAGCCTGAGTCAGAATTTGAGCTGCGATTCTTCACAAAGCAACTTCTCGACCTTCGAGAGCCTTGACTACCAACTCTCCGACTGTTCCAGCGAATTAGCCAGCAGTCTACCGAGCTGCACTTCCAACGATGATAAGTTGGCTTACGAAAATAGCTCCCTCGTCAACACTAGTCCAATGCACCCTTGCGTTTATATATCGTCTTATAACAGTAAGACCCCTGGCACGGGGTTCATCGCCCGACACAACCCCCTCAACTACCAGTCGGCTAATACGAAGTGCCAAAGAACAATGACCCGAAGCCCGGTCGATTTCCGCGAAGGGCGACGGGCCAGCGACGGCCTCGTAGCCCAGCAGGCTGCTCAGTCCGGCGACACGCAGAAGAACAGCTTGGCCTTCAACAGCCAGAGGCTGAACGAGAACTGCAAAGCGAAGGGCGTGCTGGAGCTGCATCTAGTCCAGAAGGAAGCGCAGAAACTGAAAACACAGTACCAGTCGTCGATCCCGGCGGAAGAGATGACGCAGCGACAGATGCAGCATAACCAGTTCGCCGCGAGCTTCTCGCCGCACTATTTGGACGCCAAGACGCCCACGCCCAAGCGGATCAGCTTGCCCGAAAGCTTCAACTATTCCAGCACCTCGCCGCCGATGCCGGCGAGTCCGAAGATGATGTCCCAGCTACAAGACTCGGCGGAGCTGTCGCACGGGGCCTCGGTGTCCCAGGTGAACAAGCCGCCGCTGCAGCAGCAGTTGATGCAGCATAGGCTTTTCCAGCAGAAGCGGCAGCTGCTCCAGAAGCAAATGACGCCGCCAAACGTGCCGGCGCACGAGATGGGCCCCATCCACACGCTCCAGGTCGGCCTGAGCAGGCGTCAGATGCTTCGCCAGCAGAGCTACAAGATCGCACAGCAACAGCAAATCCTTCCACCGCTGCCGCTAACGGAGACCGAAAACCGTGACCTGCTCGCGTTCCAAGCGATCGTGGAAGACCCGAACAGGACGATCAAGAAGGAGGAAAATCAAGAGGAAGTCTCCAAGTTCGCGTACCAGGGCTCTATGGAAATTAGTATAATGAACAAGGACAGACTGGGCAACGAGAATTGGTCCAATTTGCCGTCCAGTTTGCAGAGCGCCTGCCAAATATCGGAGTTGGCTGGGAGAGAGAAGGGAGGGAGGCCAGAGAGGGGGAAAGAGATGTAAGTAGTCTGTCCGCAATGGACACTTCCCTCTGGCCGGGACAGTGGAATGCGGGCCTTTTCCAGCCGCAGGCTTGTTTCCAGGTATTCCAACAGATCAACTAAGTAGATCTCCAAACGTAGAACGGTAGATATTGGTAGTTGTTTTGTTTGCACTCAGCGTTACAACCGATATTAATAATGTTGCAGCTACATCGTTTGATACGCCAACTAGATTAAACAGTCATGGTCTCATTGTAGTAATATGTATTCGTATAGCAACAATGTGGTTTTATTATGATGTACTTCAATTATGTTATTTCCATTGCGGAATATTCTATGAAACGCATGACAATAACTAGTGCTTTAAAGTTACCATATGTAAACTGTTTATCACGACAACTATTACATATATAAAGTTACACAATTTTCAGTAATAAAAATTGAATATTTATCAGAATTCGTGAATTTATGATGCATAATACTTAAATTTAATATATTCATAGTGTATCTATTCCGCCATTCCTTTCTAGAATCCGAATAAAAGGAGTTTCACGTAGCTTAAGTATCTACATTCAAAGTTTGAGCTGCTCTTGCCAAATTTCTTGTTATAGTGCTAATTTAAAATTAGAATTATATTGCGGGAAGCATTGTTCCTACGTATTTATCCATAGTCTGCTACTTCAATGATACACATTTTCAATTTACTAGATGTAAGTATCTATTTATTAGTTACACTATAAGTTATAAAAAACTAAATGTTTACTCTGAAAGTCTGTATAGAGGTTTTGTTATTATTTGCTAATAACTATAAAGTTATTTGTAAGATGTGATAGCTTTACTTAGTAACAAGTTTTTATTTTAAAATATAAGTAAATGTAATTTATATTAGTCGTTTGTTTTATTTGATTACACCTTTTTATTTGGCAATAAGCTTTTTGGTAGATGACACGATTGCATGCACGTTTATGTTTATAATAAATAGTATAAGTTTATTTTAGAAAGAAAATACTAAAGAAATTAATTTAGTATGTCAAAATATGGCTATCAAAAAAGCCAAAAGCATTAATAAAATACCAGCCACGTGGTGTAATGATGTGTGTATGTAATTAAATTATTTCGATAACCAATATGCCACGATACCACACCTCTTTAGTGGCCATTTACATTTCGTGTATAAAGATAAATACTCCTTGTTCGAACTTTAAGAAATATTTTCATATATTGAATGTTGAAAATTAAATGTTTAATAAACACTACACTTGAATAAATGATTTTGTCCATAACTAATGGATGAATATCTACTTAGGTTATTTTAAGTGTTAAAATTTATTATGATTAATTACTAAATTTCTTCTCTAGTCTTCATTTTACAGGAAATTTTGTGAAATTTTATTTGTAACAAAAATTCAGTCAAAGGCCTAGGCTACACGTCGTCTCCCAAAAAAGTTTCAGTTCATAGACAAAACGGGTATATCAATCAATATTCTTCTTCTTCGTCGTTCCCTTACTAATGTGGATCGTGACCCTATGTGACCATATCAAACAATATACCTTTTATTTAAAAAAAAAATCACCATGCTACATATTAGTTGTAATGTTTCATAATATTAACATTCACCCTATAAAGGAAATAGAAATCTCAATAAAAGAAATGTCTATTGGATGGTCATATGCCTTTTGCCATACTTTTATTGAACAATGTGCGTTTTCCGTACTTAACTTTAGCCATATTCAAAGCTACGAGGGACGTTCAATGTATTCATGGTACATGAATGAAAGAATAAGCAAAAAGTTATAGTAGAATTTATTTTTCAATGTAGTTCCCCGTCACCTAAATATACATATTTGAGCGGGGAAGTAATTTTTCAATACCCTCTTAAGATATTTTTCTTGTCTGGAAAATGTTCAACAATTGCCGCCTTCAACTCTTCAAAGTAGGAATCCGAGAAGAAGAAAGAAACTAGAAACCTAGAAGATCTTTCTTGAGTTTGGGGGACGGAAAATAATCATTAGGGGCTTTGTCCGGGCTGTGCACCCTGCATGATTGATTTCTTCAAATCGGCTATCCCAAACAGCAGCCTTGGCATCGCGCCCTTCATGAAACGGCTCGTTGTCGAAAAGAGGCAAAACAAATTTTCACGTCTTTTTGTTATCTTTAATCTACTTATGGTGTTTATGTAAGATGCGACAGTAACACTTTGACTTTTCTTTGTGTAATAAAATCCACTTAGAATTCCAAAACTCTGTGGCCATGACTTTTCCGGCGGATTGGGTTGACTTTAAACTTCTTTGATGGGTCTGTTCCTTTTGTATGCCACTGCATGGACTCTTGCTTGCTCTCAGGATCATAGTGATGAACCCACGTTTCATCACCGGAACATTCGCTCGAAAAAACTATGTGGATGTTCACCACAGAGCTCCAAAAACTCCTTGCGAACTCAACTCTCACTTGTTTCTGAAGCGCCGTGAGTATTCGGGGCACCCATTTTGCACCTTTGACAGATTCAGTTTTGCTCATGAAAGATAGTGTGAAACATTCACACGGAGAGCTTCGTCCTTTCTGCTGACGTTTTCTCTCTTATACGAGTGTCTTCAAGTGCAAGTTTCTTCTCCATTTTGAAGTTCTTTAGGAATGGCACTATTCAGCATACTGGCACGGACGTTACGTCGTCTTCAATACTCTCTCTGTTTGTTCCCCGTTTGAATTCACTAGACCACTTCTGAATAGGAGATAATGAAGTTAACAGCCGCCAATATTTCGTGACTAATTTTTTCAGTCTTTCCTTGTTTTGTAAGTAATTTTATCACAACGCGATGCTCGATTTTGTTTCAACATTGCCGTATCAGTCAGCTAAAGGCAACTGCCTTTTCGTAATGACTTTTTGAATATTAATGGTGACAATTAGATTAATTTTATATTTATACCCTCAAAGAGTGTCTGTAACTAATGAGATCATTTAATCATCATTAGCATATATAATACCGATATCGCGAATAAATTGAACTCCCCTCATATCATTTCTATATGACCAAAAGTACTTTTTCTGTAGTTAAATTGCATTGAGCATGTGAAAATATAAGAGTAAAATCTGGAAATCGAATTACATGTTTACAGTGGTAGGGCCACGCAGCAACCCCGGCTGTTGCACGAATGGGCAGGCCCGTCCGGGTAAGTACGACGACCTCACAGAAGACCAGCGTAAAGTGGAAGTATGACAAATACTTTCGTGTTTCGTTTGGTGAGTGATGTAGCCGTAGCCCAATTTTCAAAAGGTTGTCAACGCATCTGTAACCTTCTGGTGTCGCAGGTGTCCATAGGCGGCGGTATTCACTTAACATCAGGTGAACAGTCTGCTCGTTTGACAACTTTTCGCATAAAAAAATAATATACAGATGTCTCGTCAAATTAGTTTCACGTAAATATAATAAACTGTTTTATATATTAAATTGTTTCAGCCTTCCTGGCCAGGTCACAGTGTGCCACCTAGCGGGAATATGCTCCCACTCAGCGAGAGCCCTATTCTGGAGTTAACTGAACAAATGGAGTCAATTTAAAATACATTATTTGGTCAATATCCATTGTTATGCAAAATTAACTGGAAAAAATTATGAAAACCTGTTATTGGGGTGCAAATATAATGTTCAAACACTAATTCAAATATGGAGATGATAATAATGGAACAAAAGAAATATAAAAATGAAATAGTGATATACAATGAGACAATATCAACATAGGTATAGTTGTTAATAATTGATACAATTTTGACACTCAACTATGTTTATACAATTGTTTGATATATATATGATAGACATTTGGAATTTTAATTCGACATAAACGATTTTAAAGTAACTCCGTGTTCACCACTGCCAGTAATATGTTTTTAATATTTATTGTAACAAATTTGTACGCAATCATTCGAGATACTGTCAATCAATTATAGTAAGTTAAATCCACAGACTATGAATAAAAAATAGAAATAAAAGCCTTTCTTCAAGCCTACTTCGTTTCGCAATTAATTTTTCAATATATGTGAAAACCTAATTGTGAGACGTTATAGTAAAATTGCCAAGTAAAATTCCAAATGAGCTGTCCTTGTTAACTTTAAATTGCCTGTAAATAAACTACCTCTTAAGATGTAATGTTGAAAAAAAAAAAGACTGAATTCAGTGTCAATTCAGATCCTGATAACCGAATCATTTTGAAGTTTCTGTGACGGTCAACAAATTTTAACTTATCCATGTGAATTTTATTCATGAAATGCGGAAATAGCAAAACCAGTTTCATATTCATTTAATTCTTCACTTAGACATATCAATTTTGATTAGATTTAGATATCTGGGTTAAAATAACTTGTTCTTAGTTTATGAACTTGATCAAATAATTGTTAAAATGATAAAACAAAAATGAATGTGTGTCGGCAGTATGAAGTATGACAAATTTATCCGTGGACCACTCACTAAAGCTCATCGGTATTATTACCATCGGATAAATTTTTATCAGTACCAAAAAAGTAATCTATCGCCGCTTGATTATTGACGTATTATGGCGCTATTAATCGATAAGTATAAAGGAACCATTACCGATTGAATATAAACTTTTTCCAGTATTAAATTTTTTTGTAACGGTTCGCTGCTCAATTTACTCTCTGTAGATCTGTAGAGGATAATTGCAATAGTTGCTACGCTTGGCAAGCCGCTTGGCATCTGCAGCAGTGGCAGATTTGTAATCTTGGCCGCCCTAGGCCCTAGCCCATGTAGTAAGTTCCAGCCGCCCCTTTCTCAAATCCCATCATATATCTTGTTAAAATCAGTGAATTTTTTGTCACGATTGGCCGCCCCTAATATGTGGCCGCCCTAGGCGCGGGCTTATTGGGCCTTAGGGCAAATGCGCCACTGATCTGCAAAGTACCTAAATGTTGCCACTTTGGTACAATGTTGTGATTACTCGCCCAGGGGTTTCCCTACTACCACACCCACGCAAAGAGCAGCGCAAATGGTTTTTCCTAACTCGTCAATGCG